TAAATCCTAGCCAAATAGCTTCAGGATCATCTTTGATAGGATCTTTCCTGGCCCCACTTCCTTTGGCTTTGTCAGATGGTGGCTGTCCATCCAGTAGTCGACTTTCTCTGCTGTTCTAAGGGTTGGAAGGCCCAGCAGACCAAGTGGTTGGTCAAGTCCTCAGCTGAGTAAGCCAACTTGCCATAGTTTGTATCAAAGGAGTGGAGCCCATAAAGCAGCTTTGGTTGGTGCAGATTGAAAGAGCTGTATAGATAGCTCATTTCAGAGTAGTGGATGGCATCTATGGTATTGGTTCAATGTTGAACCTTGATTTGTATTGCAGCAGTTTGCTGAGTTGGTCTTCTGGATGTCATCTGTTGTAAACATTAATAGCATAATTGGTAGCAGAATATCATAAGATATCCCACCATTCATCACTGTCCAAATAGATATACTTCTGTCCTATCTCTGAGGCTAACCACTTATTGTCCCTTCATAAGAAATTTACTCCCTCCTCATATAGTCCATTGTACTCTTTTTCTCTGTTTCTTTGTATTTTGTTGTTTAGCACTTCTTCATCAGTTTTCTCTGCCAGATCTCCCAGATATTCATATGCTTCTGAGAGGGTGAAGAGGTCACTGCTCTCATCATCCTCTCCCTCATCTCCCTCATCCCCACTGTCCTTAGTGAGGAAGCTGCTATGCAGATTGTAAGTGGATGGCTTCAGGGATCAGATAGTCGCTGGTGAGCTGGTCATCAACTTGGTTGCTAGGTCTGGCAGTGTTGGCTGCATGAAGAGACTGTATGAGGGTATTTCTGAGGTCAGAGTGGTATCTAGTGCCTCCATGTGCTCATACTGCCTCCAGGTCTCAGCTATAGACACAGAAGTTGGCATAGAACTGGGGATTGAGGAAGAGTTGAGCAACTCTTTCTCTCAGAAATCACCAGAGTTCTTGGTTAAGGATGTGGGCATTGAGGGGAACTCAGAGCCTATAGGCATCGAGTATGGAGCCAGACTGAGAGAGAATGGTGTTGGTGCTGGCAATATTAATAGTTTGAGAAGGAGGATCATTATCTCTTTAGAAAGAGGGATCCTGACTCCTCCTTGCAGCTTTGCTGAAAGTGACAGGGCTATAGAGCCCTGTCCAGGGGTTGATTTCTGTGGTACTAGTCTCCCTGAAAGGAGAGCAGGTGTGATCTGTTCATATATCAGGGGCTTGGGAGTTGGCAGTGCCCCACTCTATGGCTTCAAGCTCTCACTGTCATCAATGATACTGCACATCATATAGCTCATCATTGTGGAGGGCCTGTCTTTATGCTTGCTCTCTTTTCATCCAGTCAAGGTCCTTAAAGACTTCTTCACTGGTGGCCCTAAGCTCTTCTTTGGTGAAATCTCTGGAATACTTGTCAATGACATCTTGGACTGTTGGTCTCTAACTGGTATGTCCTCTTTCTGGCTCTATGTCCAGGCTGTATGGAGTTTCAGACTGGAGATATGGGCTGGACTGTGGGGTCATGTAGAAGGAGTTGTGTCCAGAGTTCAGGAGTGAAACAGGTTGGGATTCTGGAGCCACCCTAGCAGCATCAAAGGAGTCTCTAGCAATGTTTCCAATCCCTCAGGCTGAAAAAGAGGGATTGTTGGAGGGTGCATCATCAAAGAAGTCATCAGAGAGGTCCTTGTCCTCATGGTTAAAGACTGGTGGCAGAATCCACAGGTTTCTGAACCTTGTGAGGCAAGGGTTGCTGTTTCTGCTGCTGGTCTAAGAGAATCAGGAGAGTAGATGTGTCTTTCTTCTTGCAGAGGGTCCCATGAATCCATTCCTCTAAGCTCAGCTTGGAGTACAGTTTCTGTCAGAGACTGGATGGAGATTTGGGGAGTGACTGGGATATCATGGAGGGAGAGGTTGGGTGTGACATTTTATAGAATATGACAGATGTTCTAGAATTCTTAGTAGTACCTGACTGTTCAAGCAGTAATAAATTGTTATCCTCAGCAAAGCTGGATGATTATCAGTAAGTCTAACAGTGTTCTGATGATGGAAGTGAGGAGTTCAAAGAACTTGTGATCAAAGTTTGGAGATTCTGGGTTGATAGATGACATTCAGTTTTCTCCACACTATTGTACATGAGAAAAGAGAAGAAAAGCTTTGAGCTAATTGTTAGATCCAAGTCACATGTGATCAGAAACACATGATAAACTGATGTCACTTCACACTTCAAGTGGAACATCAGAGTTCACTGATGTGAATGCTGATGAATATGCTTCAAGGCCTTATGATTGGCTCAAGAGTGAAATAGTATGAAGATAAACTTTAGCTTAAAGCTGAGGTTATACCAGCAAGAGCTGTCCTACTTATATACAGTTGTCTATCCCTACTATAAATACTACTACTAATTGTGTCATCTGTGACTATTATGCTTGTTGTTCTTGAGTATTGTTACTGTCTACAATAGTGTCATTGTGCATGTTGGGCCCTGCTGTTGCATTGAAAGACAATGACCAACTGGACTTGTTGTGCTGACTAACCCAGTCTCACAGTCTGAAGCATTTGGTATAGATGCTCTGACTAAGCACAAATAGAGATTAATGCCAATGAAAAGTAAAAAATCATAATAAGATGGTGTTGGGACTGGGGATTAGAGAGAGAGTATTGTCTCTCCTTGCAGCTTTGCTGGAGGTGACAGGGCTATAGAGTCCCACCCATAGGTCAGGTGAGATGCTGGGCTCTCAGAAGGGAGAGCAGGTGGACTCTATTCAGAGTCTATATCTGCTGAAGAAGGTGGAGCCAAAGAGGGTGGCCCCATGCTGTTGATATCTTCTGTCCTCCTGTTCTTCTTCATACTATTGCTGGGCTTCTGCCCTGGCATGCTTGCCAAGCTCTTCTCAGGCCTGCTCAGAGTCAGCCTGAGCTCACTCTTCTTGTTGCTGCTGCTGCTGCTGTAGGACTGCTGCATCATAATTAAATGGGATCCAGAGGTCCCAGTCCAGGAATATCCTCTAGATGATTTAATCCCAGGCTGCTTCCTCTCATTGTCAGACAGTTTCTCTGTCTGTCAGAATGCTGTCCACTCTGTGGCTTCCACTTCAGTTAGAGAGTGGACTTTCTGCTAGCATGGCATAGAGGAAGTCCACTGGGTGCAGTGAAATGCTTCAGGGTCTTGAAGCCACTCTAGGGGCATTAAGAGAGTCCTAGTGTAGTCTCCAATCCCAGCTTCTCTTAGGGCAGTGGAAGAGTCAGAGGATGGCAAGTCATCAAAGAAGTTCTCAGAGACATCTTCATTCTCATGATCAGAGATGGGAGGCAGGATCCACAGGTTCCAGAAACCCATAAGGTGATGGTCTCAACCTCTGCTGTCAAGTCATCAGGGTCAAGAGAGGTATTCATGTCTTTCTTCTTCATGAATGTTTTCCTGATGCAAGCCACTAGGCCTGGCTTTGGGTATGGCTCCTGCCTCAGGCTGAAAGGAAGGTTGGAGGGTATAGGGGATGTCATGAAGTGATAAATCAGAAGTTACATTTCTTAAGATTCAGCAAATGTTCTGGAACTCCTGGTAGTCTCTAACTGCCCAGGTAGTGATTGATTGGCATCCTCAGCACAGCTGAATGATCACCAATAACCTTAATAGTGTTCCAATGATGAAGGCTAAGAGATCAAAGAAGTCACATTCAAAGTTGAAAGAGTTCAGATTGATAGATGGCATTCAGTTTCCTTCATGCTTATTGTGTGTAAGGAAAGAAAAGCATAAGCTTCAAGCTAATTGTTAGATCTAAGCTGCATGTGATCCTAGACACATAATGAACTGATGTCACTTCACACTTTGAGTGAAACATCAGAGCCCACTATATGTGACTATTGATCATAATGCATCAAGGCCTTAGATTAGCTCAAGGATAGAATAGTGTGGTAATAAACTTTAGCTTGAAGCTGAGGTATACCAGTGAGAACTTTCCTACTTATATACTACAGAGCATTCTGCTATAATTATAACTACCTATTGTGTCAGTGCTCATTGTTGTGCCCATTGTCCTTGGGCATTATTACTACCTACAAAAGATTCTTTGTGTGTCATCAAGCATTGGTGTTGCATCAAAAGACAATGACTGACTAGACTTGTTGTGATGACTAAGCCTGTCTCACAGTCCTAAGTGCTAGGTTAAGCACCCTGACTAAGCATAAATAGGGGTTAAAGATAAAGAAAAGTGGAAAAATCATAACAAGCAGACACTAGATGGTATATATTGAATGGAAAATTCAGACTTAAATGATGAGGCAAAATCATGCATTCAATGGAGGAAGAGGCAGGAATGAGGGATAACTTGAGAGCAGAATTGAAGGTATCCCTTCAATTCATCAAGCTCATGGAGTGAGCAGGATTTCTTTATCTGCCAGAAACAAAGAAGGTCTTATAGGTAAATGAGCTTGTCCTCTGGCAATTATGCTTCCATATGTGATGAATCAAGAATAATGCCTAGAAATTCAATAATGACAGAAGGCCACTCTGTCTTGGATTCTTGGAAACAGAGACCAAAGTTCTTGACCAAGTGCTAAGATCTATTCAACAGCAGCCATAGATAGGATATTGTATCTCAGTTTTTTTTCTAGCTAGCCTCAAGGCAGGCTAGCTGATGGTTGGCACCAATGAACATCTTAGACATGAATCGCCAACTCACTGTCGGCTGAAATCTTGAAGGGCTGCGAATCTGGATAGGAATCACCCTCAGGTCTACATTTAGCTTTGCCATCACAATAGGCATCCATCCGGTTGAAGGAAATGTTGCCGGGCGAGACTAAAAATAACTTCGCGTTGTCGCTCGTGCCATATGCGTTAGTATTCCAGGTGTATCGGTCTATTGATGCCTTTTTAACAATAATTCGAGACGTTATGGCTTTAGACCAATCTTTAGAGGCCCCGCCTGCTCGCCGGAAAATTCAGGGACGGCGAACCTGTCATATAGGATTATCAAATGTTACTCTGTGTACCCCAATCCGCCCGGCACAATTATATATGTCCTGAAGCCGATGGTTTTGCCCCATAACTTTCGTTGCGATATGTCTGTGAATCCTTTGACGGTGCGCACCATACTTCGAGCCCCACCCCTTCTCCTCAAGACGTTGTTAAACCATTACTTCAAACATGTTATCAAGAAGAAGCCTGGAAAGTCCTCGACTCGGTTGCGCCGTGACGAACTTCTCTACGACGAAATGTTCAGTCTTCTCAAGGTACGTTTCTTGTGATCACCTTTCGCCGGGAAGTACGGATTAAATAACAGGCCCGCGATAGATGTTCCTGACTTTAGCCGCAAAGTGAGTCTTATCAAGACCCGCTGGTATGTACGAATCTGAACGTGCCGTAGTCATACGATAGAAGAGTTCCAAGGTCCGGGGGTCCATTGTCCAAACAACAGCCTCTGTTCTTATTTTGATCTAGCTTTCAGTAATAACCGGACAAGCTCTCCCCGTCGGTTTCATGTCGAGCGTTTATTGGTACCCATGTCATCTTGCGAAGACGCTGCGAAATATCTGGTGAAGGCTTTGGGTGGTCAAGATGTGGCTCGACGGGTTGTAGGCGGTGTGAAGTGGTGGCAAGTCAGGGCCATCAATGGGTACGATTTTGATGATATCCTCCTAGCTGCTTCTAAATGTCATCACAGTGTCGATGCAGAGTGGATAACGACGAAGAAAGACTTACGAGAGGCCAACAGACGCGACAAGGCAAAGGCACAGTCAACGCTTGCCGCTGCACCTGCGACCAAGGCAATGGAGGAATTGAAAGTACATACCAGAGAGCCTGATCTTGGTCCAGAAACGGATGAAATGCGCTGCTTTTTGTATCTTCACGGTGGTGTGTTACTAAGCCGCAATACATTTCACACGCGTCATTAAGGTGCATCACAGGTGGATATTACGTCGGAAGCTTGGATCAAGAACGGTATCCTAAGTTTGTTGTCTGGTTTTAAGGCTCTCTTATATATATGTTTGATTACCAGATCCAGCATTCATCAGCATGCTCAGCTCATTAATGGACGTGTGTTTGGTGAGTCAATGGCTGGGTTCCTTTTTTTTTCAAATTCCTCATCATCTCTTAGCGATAAACTATCGTTTGGCGCCGCAATATCCCTTCCCTTGCGCGATTCAGGATGCTCTAGCTGCCTGTACGCCGACTTCTTAAACCTAGCCTACGCTCATCCTTCCATCAGACTTGTATCTCATCAAACCACCGCTGGAGGCCAAACATCGTGCCATCAAGCCATCCCACATCTTGCTTTCCGGGGATTCCGCCGGTGGCGGCCTTTCCCTAGCCTTGCTTCAAGTCATTCGGGATAGCGGATTGCCCTTACCTGCGGGCGCCGTCCTTGTCTCCCCGTGGTGCGAGTACGTCCGTCACTCTATTTCGCATACTGCGATTGGGCTCATCTGGCCCATGTAGTCTCAACCATTCCTTTCCGAGTATTACAACCAATACGGATACCGACATTATACCAAAGTATGGCCTGTCTATTTCAAAACCCAGTCCTTTGTGGCCGCCGCCGTCGCAGGCACCCTGTACGGCTGCCGGTACTCTCACGACACAGGATCAAGAATTACAGACGATCCATTCCAGACCGACTGAATCCGGTGAAGTTTTGACGATCGAGTGGCAGATGCATCCGTATTCTCAAAATAGCCTGCTGAGGCATCCTCTGATCAGTCCCGTCCTGTCGTATCTAGGAGGTTTACCACCTCTGTTGATCATTGCCAGCGGGAAGGAAGTTCTCTGCGATGAGATCGTTTACACGTAAGTTGATCCTGTATCTTTCGGACAATGATTTACTGCTAAAGATGGCCTATTTAGCGCTCATAAAGCTGCAGACCCTGAGAAGTACCCTGTTCGGGAGGAAATCCGAAAGCTGTATCCCGCGCTTGATGGGATAGAAATGCGGTGTGGAAAAACGAAGGTCCATCTCCAAGTGTATGATGGTAAGCACTGTTTGTCGTGTCTCAGTGTCAGTCTTGGTAACAACGAAAGGTGCAGATGCTGCCCATACGCTTCCTACGCAATTTGGAGGCACTCCTCCGGCCAAAGCCGCTTACGACGCTATCCGGTTGTTTGCTCGACGTGTCACTGGAATGGAAGCTACAGCTCACTCCGTGAGTTCAAGCTCCTTGCTTTCCCTCTCCATTATGGCTAATCTGTCCCTTCATCAGGATAACAATGGTTTCATTCGGGAACGTGTTTCAGTCAAGGGCGCCGTCAGGCCCTTGGAAGCAACATCAGACCTGGAGGCGATGAAGATACCCCCCGAGTTCGTTGGTGTGATGTCCGAGTCTGCTGCTGAACAGATCATCGAAGGACACAAGGTGTTTAAAAAGAAATTTTCTCATACGGAGAAGGCTATAGAGAGGCGCAGGAAGGAAAATCTCAGGCGTGCGGAGAACTATGAGGAAAAGGGTTCGGCTCAGTGGTCACTTGATGAAGGGGAAGTACCTCCACCTGGGTGCAATGTTGTTCGACGGGATAACGTTGAAGCTAGGCGCCTGGCAAAACAGATGGCGCAACGTTTTATTACGGGATAAATTGATTCTCGCGATCATGTTTTGTTTGCTTGTTTTCTTTGGACTTCTTCTGCTATGCAATATGCTTAGGGTTGGGGTTTAGGATGTCGGTCTAGCATCGGAAAGATAGCCCGCCTCATCGTCGATGAAAGTCTTCCCTTGTTCGCTTGTAGTGGCAGTGGCTTTCTTACTCCTTGTCCTGTGGTGTTCATCAACAAATGGGACTTTACTCTTGAAATTTGCTGATGGCTTGATGCGGGGCACATGCTAAAGGCACACCCGTAGCCTTCCGCACTCGCTTCTTGTTCCCTGCGCTGCAAAGAGATCTCCAACGAACGTTCATCCTGTTGACTTTGCTATTCCTGTTTGTAATGGTGTCTGGATCCATATGCATGCCACCCCTTCTTTCTGATTTTTCCTCCGTGTTCAGCCAGCTCATATAAAAGTGGCCCGGGTATCTGTCAGATGAGTATCCCACTATGCTTCTCTGGATCTCGCTCTCTCTTTTATATGCAGTCGTTTATGCATTCCCGTCGCCATTGAGGCAGCGCGATTCGATAACGACTCTGAGCGATTCGGAAGTCGAGGCTTTCAAGCCCTACACTTACTACGCCAGTGCAGGTTATTGCGAGCCATCGACGACCTTGGCTTGGGATTGCGGAAGTGTGTCCATGAGGCCTCCCATCTTTCGCGTGCAAAGTGTCGCTCATGGGCCCTGACACTAGGTAATTGCGAGGCTAACTCTGCTTTTGAACCCGTTGCGTCAGGCGGCGACGGCGATTCCGTGCAATACTGGTATGTGGGCTATGATCCCGACCTCGAAACCGTCATCGTGGCTCACCAGGGAACGGATACGTCAAAATTGTAAGTGACCATGGTATATTCTTTCGACACAGCGCGGATTTTCATGGCTTTCTAGGTTGCCAATAATTACTGATGCCGACTTTTTCCTGACAGAACTTGATGCTGATCTGTTCCCCGGCATCAACTCCGATATCGAGGTCCATAGCGGTTTCAAAGAGTCTCAGGCTGAGTACGTCTTGTCAAGTTCCTCGGTGTTTGAGTTTTGGTTGATCAGAATATATAGCACGGCTACTGATGTTCTTGCGGCAGTAACAAGCGCAATGTCGACTTACTCGACTAGCACTGTCACTGTTGTTGGCCACTCCCTTGGGGGAGCTATCGCCCTTCTAGATGGTGTTTATCTCACCTTGCAACTGTCATCTGCGTCTGTATCCGTGATCAGCTATGGTATGCCCCGAGTAAGTGCCAAACGATTGATCTTTCTATTCGTGGTTGACGTGGGCTGTGAAGGTGGGAAACCAGGCATTCGCTGATTGGGTCGATGAATACGTCACCGTCTCGCATGTCAACAACAAGTACGTTCTGCCCATCCCACTTTACTATTATTTTTAATCTCACGGGAGAATTGTAGGAAGGACCCAGTGCCGATTCTTCCCGGTAATACATACCACAACGAAATGAATATCACAATCTCATTCGCACACAGGACGCTTCCTCGGTTTCCATCATTGCTCCGGTGAAAAGCATATCACTGATTCCGATGCATGGGTCAGCTGTCCAGGTGACTACTGTTCCGTCGAGGGCCGTGTTCAGGGCTAACACATTCGACAGGGCAGGACAACGATGATGATCAATGCATAGTTGGAGAGGTCGCTAACATATTAGAGGGCGATGCGGATGATCATAGTGGTGTGTGCTTCGTACCTTGTTCATTCTTTCCCGCCTGAAAGCCTTTTCCTTTCTAGGGCCGTACGATGGTGTGACCATTGGGTGCTAAATGCAGCCGTCTTTAATAATTTATTCATTACAAGTCTGAATATATGTTCTGAGGCCGTTGTTTCTGATCACTTTAGTTATCTACTCTTTTGTGCTTTGCCTGGACAGGACATCATCTTTATTATAATATCAGGGTAGGTTCCTCGGAGAATTAGTGTGACAAACGTGCATCAAGTTTGTTGCGTAAACCGCGGCGCTGCTCCTTGAACTAGGGTCTTGTCTAGATGCAGTCTCCGCTCATGCTCACTCCATCAGAGAACTAGTATAAAGTATCATTATGACATGGGATTTGCTCAAAAGCTACAGAAAGAGTTATTGCACAAAACGCATTCGATCAAGAGGTCGCGTTCACGCCAACGGTGATGTAACCTACGATGCCATTGGCGTAGTCCTCGCCATCTATCGGAACCACGGCCAACTCCGGGAACCACCCGTTACGTGCCTCTCCCTGGTATATATCATCCACGTCGTTCGTAGTTCTTTCAATCTCTGTATGCGAAGAGTACGGCTCCAGAGACATCAAGTATTCAGAGAGCTCCTCTCCGAGGAAGACTTGACCGGTGCTAGACGTCGTATCGGTGAGAACAGTTCCGTTAGATTGGAGCACCCAGTCCTGATGAACCTGAAGACGCAAAGCGAGTCTTTAGTCTTCGTACTACGTCGAACAGAGTTGCATACCTGTACGTGCACATGAATGGCTCTCTGCACGTAGAAACCCGGGACAATGGTCTTCATCTCCATCATGCCTTCCTCGTCGGTCGGCCACATGCCTCGAAGGAAAGTTGTGTTATCGGTATGGAGATCAAGACCGGGGCCAATTGTTAAGTTCAACATGGCAAGGAGTTCTTCGAAGGGGATGTTGGGGTCACGCTTGGTGAATGAAGAGTAAGAACCAGTCGCGTTGCAGTGCCATATGTCGACGAGGACATTTTGCATAGGCTCGCAGGTGTTGATGTCGATGACACCGATATCCTAGGGTAAATATGTCAGTGTGAAGCGAATGTCAATTAAATTGGAACCTACCAAAATGAGAGGGATACCAGGCTGGTCCTCCGTCATATCCTGACGCAGCGTCTGAGACTTTGGCCAGATGTAAGGTCCAGTGGTAACATCGGGGGTGAGAATGCAGGTCTCGTTCTGAATCTCAGGGTAATAGGGAGACTCGGTCGTGACGGTGACGGTGGAAGTGCCGTCTCGCTTCATCAACTCTTTCGCGCGTTTTTCGATGCGCCTACGTTGCATTTCGCCGACATGGCGAGCGCACTTCGACGAGGCGAGGTCGCGGATAGCCAGCTCCTCTGAAGAAAGTCTGGATGGCGCGTGGGCAGCGGCGAGCAACGCACAGACAAAGAGAGTAACGAAGGAACTTGAAGTGAACCTCATGTTCGCAAGCGATGGGGAGATGTCTGCCAGCCTTGCCATTTTATAGTATTATAGAGCTCGGAAAAATAGAGAAAAAAAACTCGGTCGCAAAAGGGTTGGTAACAGATAGATAGACTGCGCAGCTCGAAAGGAATTCTTATCAGAGGCGACGAGAGAAATATATATTGTGCCCATGGTTGACGGCCAATAGAAAGAGAGATAATCACAGCGTGATCCTAAACAAATGTCATTTATCACAGGAGGTGAAAAGAATTTCATCGTCACTTACATATGCGTGAGGGCGAAACCGATTCTACCACATGTATTATATGATGGAACAACCTCCGACTTTTGCCAAGCCACACCTTGGGCCCCATCTTGAAGGTATATATCGTGCGACTGCGTTCCATTTTCCGTTACTGAAAAGGATGGGGCATAATTATCTTGATAGAAGAGATACAGTTACTCAACGTAGCCTTAGCGCATTATGTCGGTACAACCAGCCTTATAAATTGTGCAATGTGCAGCACGGGCTGCGGTAAACTCAAGACTCGCATGGTCTCTCTGAGTATGACACTCTCAGCTCATATCGCGCCTGAGGTCTGATCTCCGAACAATCGGGGTACCGTCATCTTCACGTTATACCTCTTTGCTTCATTGACATCTCAGAGCATCTCAGCCAGGGTGAAAGTAGGAGGAAATTCGTTTAGATAACAGTATCTCGCCCAAATAATTACCTGCCAGTGAGACTTGAGTCATCTGCCGGGATAAAAAAATAAAGCATACTGACTGCGGCATTGTCGATCAAGCTCGCTCGCGGACGCCGATGGCTCGGCGACTCAGGTGACTGAGAAAGTCCAAGAGAAATATTGATAGTAATGTCCTACATGGTTAATTCCAAAAAGAACATGAAGTTAGAAATGCGTTGTCTCATTGTATGATTATATGATGCATACCTGCGTACTAGGCCTTAGAGGCTGTGCTAATCACTCAGCCGGTTGATTTCCGGTCCGGTTCTCTTTGAATGCAACGTGACTCAGGCTCCCAGAGGTTAGGTTAGATAACCGGCATGTGGTCCCAATGAGAACTTCATTTCTACCTCGTTGATACTTCGTGCGGTACAGAGCACTGAACGTGAATTAGCCCGTCGAGTTCCATATTTCTGACTCTTTTGAAAAGACATTTTCTCTTTCAACCTTGGTACGATGTCATGTTTGTATGATGGACGGCGGGCTTATCAAGTCCCGTCCCACAGACCCAAATAATCATGGATGCCAACTCGATATGGACATCCTGCTCTGGATGTCCGTGTCCAAACCATCACTTGCCATTTTGCACCTTCACCGTCGAACCCGCTCTCTCGAATGATCCCGAGTGGATGCACCTCACATGTTCGAACAACCCTCCTTCACAACACGAGGAGACGGTACTATCGGGCATAATATCAGCATACGATCAGCAGATTAAAAATATCGACATGGAGAAATCTAATCTCAAGGCCTTTTCCCTTTCCCTGAATGCCCAGATCGTTGCAGTTTTCCAACGGATAGACGCACTGCGCCAAGAGCGGGCGCGAGTGACGGAGGCACTCCGGCAAAGGAAGAATCTCCTCAGTCCTGTCCGGCGCCTCCCTCCGGAGATCCTCAATCATATTTTCCTTGATACCATTGATTTTCCAGTACCCAGAACGCAGAACATACAGACCGTGGAGCAGGAGGTGGCTATCGATCTGTCACCCAACTGGAAGTTCAAGTCCACGGAGAGCTCTTTATGGTCGATTACGCGGGTTTCTACACAGTGGAGGAGCGCGTCGCTTTCATCCCCAAGACTTTGGTCTTACGTCAATATCTTAATCACTGACTCAAATTTCGCAAACTATTCCTACATTCGACAACTTGGACTACAGTTGGATCGATCTGCAAAATACCCGTTGTCAATTTCGATATGCCATATTGCGGAGGAATCTGTTGCAGAAGCTCTTCCTCCGCCGTTGGTGACTATCTTGTTCTCGTTTTCTACTTGTATTCGGGAGCTCCATCTTTACCTTCCCTCGTACCTATTCCGGCAAATGACCCTCATGCATTTATCGTTATTATCCTTGGAGGACTTGATCCTCCTTTGCACCGACGGGTTATCTCCTACTGAGTTTACGAACCTATGTCTGCTTTCCTTCGCTCCGAAACTGCGATCGCTAGAGGTTGTAGATATCATTGATTCGCAGGAAAGATTTGAGCTTCCTTGGCACCAGTTGAAGACGTATCGCAGCGACCATGCATATCAGCCCATCTACCCTTTCAGACACATTGGTCCTCGGGCACACCATCATTTGAATGCTCTCAGAAAGCTCCCGCAAGTGGAGGAATGTGTTCTAAGGTTGGGTGATAGATCCAGAGAGGATGACTTTGGAGACCAGGTGTATCCTCTTATTTGCCCGCAGCTGTGTATGCTGGATCTCTTATCGTGGAACCTCGACGTTAACACAGATGATTCTGCCTTCCGACAAGTTGCTGATAGACTTATTCTGCCAGCACTGTCTGCTCTGAAGGTCTCATGCTCACAGAGGGACGATTACGAAGCCCAGGGGTTTTTTTCCTCGATATGCCAACTTCTCCGGCGTTCACAGTCCCAGATTACCGTCCTGCACTTCGACCATGGTCGAGTCCTCACCGAGGAATTACTACGACTCTTCCGTTCTGCGCCCACCCTTGAAGACCTGCGGCTAACTCAGTGTCAAATAGGCAGCGCTGGTGTCACCACAGAAGTCATGAAGACGCTTACTGTGAATCATGCTTCTTCGGAGGACTTGGTTCTCCCGCGCTTGTGCACTTTGTATATACCTGGCGGAAGTTTCCGGGTTTCAGACGTTGTGCGCATGGTCCAGTCTCGTAGGAGTAGTGACAATTCTTGCCGAGTTGTCCGTTTACAAACTCTTAGAGTGTGTGGTTATCTCCCAGACCCATGCCCTGGCTTTGACGCCACAATCCTCCATTTCCAACGGTACTACGCCGAAGGATTCTCTTTTGGTATCATCCGTATTACTCAGTAGTACTGTAGCTTACAATACTAATATATAGGTTTTCTTTTGGAAAGTAAAGCAATATTCGGTCTAAAATCAATACTTTGGCTCCGGACATTGCCATATCGAACATTGAAAAATCCATCCTGGCGGTGCATCGTAACGACCTTAGGAAAACCTACTGATGGTTGTCGGAACGACGAAGCGCTCCTGTCATACATATATTTTTTAGCAAAAACAGAACACCAGTGAATGTGTTGAGTGAACAAGTCAAAGACGTCGATCCATTGTGTGTAGATAAGTAATTCGTCGAATAGCCAGATATACGACCGTGTGCTAGGGTCATGACTCTGTACTTGCAAGAAAACCAGTTGTCTGCCGCGATCTGGAAAATTGATTTACTTGGTATTTGTGATTCCCACGATGTATTGGATCAGTACTTCATTTGAATGGATCTTCGATGAAGTTCAGAGTGAATTAATACTATATATATATTTCCTGTTGCACCATAGTGACATATCCCAATGGCCAGTTTTGTTCCGCCATGACTCGGATAGTCAACCCCCACCTAACCTTATCTTAACTCCAGAATAGTGTCGACGAAAGTGTGATCACTCACTAGCATTCATCGGATGTAGATCATCCCAAGTTCCTCCATACGCCCGCTTGGTGTGTTTTCTCTCCAGTATACATCTGGATCCCAAGAAGATGATGATCCCTGCTTCGATAAGCGTCAACAACAGCTCCACGACGTACCCGAGCGCCTGCACCGCCGGTCCCAAAAAATATCCCGGGCCGGAGATACATTCGAATGCGAGGGCTACCAGCCATAACGCTCCGATTAGGAAGAGAGTTATGATGCACCATAAGGTGGACATCACGGGGAATTTCTTCGACGTACGCTGGTTTCTTCGATTGAGGTAAAGAACAGCGATGTGATGAGCGTATGTGAAGACGGCCGCGCCCGTGTCGACCCAAAGAGTATCGGCACCATGGTCAGGAAGGGCCATGCTCGAAATACAGATGAGGGTGTTCAGGATAAGGTATATGAAAACTAGGTTTGTTATAAATATTCTGTAACACTCTGGGATGGAGAACATCTCAGTCTGGGGTTGCTCTGCCAAGCTTGTCGTCAAGCCATGGCTTGCATCGATCAGTTTTATACTATTCAAATGGCCTTCACAACGGCGTGAGAAGGCCGGAATGTTGTGTTTGATATCATCTTATATGTATGGCAGTCGAATATATATCGCCTCCACTACTCTTCGTGATACGAACCTGAAATAGACGGAGGAAAAAATCAGGCCACTGTATACCTTGAAACCTAGGTTGTATTCAATCACTGAAACAAGAATTGGACTGCCGACAAAACAATTATGCTTCATTACCTACTCCTGCATTTAGAAAGTTTTTGATGTTAAGGATTCCTTGCGCTAGCTACAGTCCCGGATTCTTTCTTCATTCAGTAGCCTATCCTAGAAGGCAACTTGAATGGAGGGAGGTTTGTGGGGTGATATAGCGTCATAGGACACGAACAATGTGATGCTGTTCCGTGTATCTGATTCTATGCGAAACTGAATACAACATCCTACAATGAGCGGGAAGATAGACAGCGTTTTATTTGAAAGAGACTGAATGAGGACTGACAGTAAAAGGTAACATGAATGGAAATGTCTATGGAGCGCGGCAGATGGCCGAGAATGCGAGTATGAATTGTATGCTTAGCAAAAAATTGACGCCAGATATGAGGAAATAGGACATATGACGTTCAACCTAAAAAAGATTAGCCTAGTCCATGATGGAGTAAAGTGAAGTTGGCTTACTAGGATTGAAAGTCATTACGAGCGCATGAGCAGTTGCTCCGAGGTCTCCTTCAGAAAGATCCATGATGGCAAAAAGAACTTCTTTGGCAGATAGGTCAAGTGCGACACATCATTTTAACGATGACTATAAGATGCAAGGTCACCGTAAACGATTATGAGACGGCTCAACGTACTGTTTTTTTGACGGTCAGATTGTTCAGAGGAGTCAAGTCACACTTTGAATTCCCCATCCCGGTCTGGTTTTGGAAGGAAAATAGTCGTCAAAATGCCCAGAAAGAGGAAGATGAAAAGGAAACCCATATTAGGACTGACAGCTGTGTTCAAGTTGAACGTTGAACACCGGCAATCAAGCAATGAGATCATGTTCGAATAAATCCATGTTATTTAAATAATAGTAACCGCACCCGATATTGTTCACGTCAACATCCTATTATGACCCCGTCATAAGGACCTAAGGAAAGAAAAAGTTCTAGACGAAGACTAGTATATATAGTGAAAAACTGTACCGTCATGATCACTGGCATTGCCTAACAATATGGCAGGGACTTCGCCGACAACACACTGATTACTCTCATTGTCTTGGCCTGTCGCCAAGTTAGCTTTCTGATGCGAATAACTTGCTTTTCTTTTTACCTGGACAGTTTATCCACACGCTGGAATCGTTGATATGCTTCTCGCCGGAACAATGAGCGAAGCCCAAGAATCGTTCTGAGACAGGTGAGTATGCTATTATTCAGACTTCTCGATTCACTTGCCTGGAAGGATTGGAACGAAGTCCTTCCTAATATATCATCAGTTGTGAGCCCCGCGAGAAAGATTGAGCAGAGTAACGCACTTGTTGTTGACGTGAGAGACAGACAGATGCTGATCGACGTAATCCGCAAATTGCGGATTTCCCACCTACATATCACCCGTAAAGATGGGTATCAAGGATTGATATAAAAATACCCACTCGAGGCATTCCGTAGCTCTTTACGGACACAGAAGCTGAGGGAAGCTGTAAATTAAGAAAAACACCATCGAGCAGGGCGATTGCAGCTCCGAGGGAGTGTCCGACGACGGTAATAGTATTTGTCGAGTAAGCCGACATGGCCTTCGTCACGGCCGAGAGAACGAGTGTCGCAGTGCTAGATATTTTTAGTTTTCAACCCGGAACCGAGTTTTGGTAAACAACTTACTTGGCGTGAGCCTGCTTGAAACCGCTATGTACCAGGACACCAGAGCTGACGTTAGGAAAGAGAGCTGCATCGAGCGGTGACAAAAGGAAGACGACGTCGGTGACTACGGGCAAACTGAGAAAAAAGTTGTCATTAATCTAGAGTGACAAACGCGTATCTGAAGACGATACTGACAGTTTCGCTATATCAGTTCCCTGATGGCCCACGATGATGGTGTCGAGATCAGCGTCGTAACCGACATACCAGTATTGTACAGTAGCACCGTCCCCCCCTGACGCTACAGGCTGGAAGTTGGGGTTCGCTTCGCAGTTGACTGAGGAAAGAAAGGTTTCAAATTCAAGCGCGATGGGAGCAGATATGAGTGATACTCACAACCGCAAGCCCAGGTCAAAGTAGTCGACGGGTTGCAGTAGGCTGCACCTGCGTAATATGTGTATGGTTTGAATGCCTCGATTTCTACTATGTCCATCGTACTTATTTCGTCCAGGCTTCGCCGAGGGGATGTTGTTCCCAGTGGAGTCGCATCGACGAATGAGCGGAGAAAAGCGAGAGTCGACCAGAGCTTGAGGAAAAGAAACATGGTGAGAAGGCTCCTGGGGCACCAATTGTGCATCTTACACTTTATAGCTGCAAGACAAATTGCTCCGACAATATATGCTCTGAAAAAATAGTGGTCTGCTTTTAGCCAGGGCCCAAGAAGAAGACCATATGGACAGTGATGCGCTTCTGACGCTCGGTCATAAAGATATTGATGCAGAATGCCAAAGCGAATTAAGTAAGAAGTCGGCGTCTGAAAGCCTGAATGCAAGCACATGCTCAGTATACTATAGCAATGGAATAGAACTCACCTACTTCCAACGTCACTAGAGAAAATCTCTGGAGACGCCACCTGCACGAGGTCCGGAAAAATCGCAGTAATGATACTAATGTCCTTTCAGGTATGATTATACACCATGACGCTTGTTCAATTTTTGCCAGCGAGTAATAGATCGTTGTAGTTTGATTCGCAGCGGGTAAAGTAAGCAGTCATAGAGTTTTATGTGTGTGTCTGCAAGGTAGATGTAGCCTTACTACGTTGCCACAGTGTTGGTGTTGTGGAGTAGCAAAGAGTCGCCAGCTTGGGCGTCACCGACTTGGAGATGACTCCCGGCTACAACGGACCGTGCCCGGAAGGACCGGAACGCGAACAGTAACACCTGTCACGTTTGCGTTACCTCTGTTGCTTAGGTTGCTCTTGGCTTTCACACATACAGTCTCGTTATACAGATGCGCCTCGTCTTCTAACATTCGGGACCCACAACGTCATTTCCATAGAACTGACTGAAAGATAAATTCCAGCTTAAGAGCTGAAGGCAACTATCTTATGATCCCAACGTTGTTTTTCATCGTCACCTCGTCGTCGCAAGACATACGCGGAATTCGACCACATATATAACTCTTTCCTCTGGCAGCTTTGTGAGGAAAATTGTATGCTGACTGCTGACCAAGAACGCCTTAGATACTGGTACGGCTTTTTCAGTTACAGTGGTCGGAATGGGGCGAACGGGCTCGGGGATTGCATTCTGTTTGTGGGTTTCTGAGGCTCAGTCATTCCCTTACGCTCATCATTCTTCATAGCGGCCTACGGCATACCGTACCCAGGGACTATCTTACATATCTGAACATTGTCTGGCGGTGCAATGGAAGCTCTTGGGACTTCTTGTTGATCAGAAGAGGGTATTGTGAACCAAGACATGAGTAAGCATCAGTTTTCTTGCAGCCTGTCCATTGAAGACAGTCCGCCACGCTCTTGTACTTTCTGATGACTTATATGCACAGAGGACTTGACGTAACTTCGATTCATTGCCTGCACGTCAATACGCGACGTGGCGGAGTACATGCCTTGGGCGACGAGCCATGGTCTGCCACGTCGTCGCCAAGAACCGTCACAGAGACATGATGCTGGCTACGTTTGTAAGAACATTTCTGAGTACATTTGTCCTAACGCTCATTCCGTCTCTAGATTAAAATTGTCCCACTGGGTAGACCTTGCAAGAATCCTGCATTAGCGTTTGTCCTGTGTACATGTCGTATGATGACAACGCGGTCCAATCTATGCGATGTTCACCGCCTCTGGATCCTAGCAGGCGCGACGTTATATATCATTGCTTATGCACAGATGGTCAATAGAGCTGGTTCTCTGCTTATCGTCTCGCTCACCCGCCTCTGCAATACCTCTCATATTCTATCTAACATCGTTACTACTTCCATTGGTACCACTTTCGGCCCGCGAATGTAAGCACAATGACCGATGATAGTCGATTCCTAGATTCATTCCTTTCTACGGGAACCTCTGACGGTTTCCGGGCGAATACAGGTGGGCCTGGGAACTGAGGGTGGTTTCGTCTTGTCGCGTTTATTCCCAAAGAAGCTTAGCTGACCAGTTTCCTTGTCCAGGTCTACTTAATTTGCGCGTAACACCATCTGATGTCAAGGGTGCAACGGAAGCTATGTCTATCGTTCCAGAAGGATGACAAATGCTACAAGGAATACACTATCGTTGATTCGCTATCCCCAGAATTGAACCCAGACTCAGGAAAAACGACGAACTTTGCTGCATCCATCCGTACTCAAGAAGAAAAGGACAGCTTCTGGTCTTGTTCTGAACGCAGTTGTCTGTTTGTGGCCGCTGGTGCCATTCCCGACTTCATAATTTTATTATCGCATACAGGTCTTTGACACCTCCGCTTTATCGCTATTTGCCCGCACCTATACAAATTCACAACCAGGTTGAAACTTGATGACTGTACTCTGACGTGGAATCTCCGAGAGAGAAAGATGTTCTCTGGGGTAATTCAGCGTGTAGATGTCTACATGTGATAATAGCACGTCATATCAAGCCCAGGCAATCACGCGGAAGAAACAAAGAGACGACACGCTTCTCATGAAGATACAAGGTACGTCACTGCGCTGCCTCTGTGTATCCTTCATTTAACGAAAGAATACTTCACCTAGCCTTCCGAGTGCTGGTACGCAGCGATGGTCGGGCTTTGTGAAATTGGGACGGAAGCGCCAGCATTTACCCCGTATCTCGTCGTAAGGTTTTTTCCTTTCCCCCACGGACAATATTTTCCTCTCCCTTATTTACGGGGTATCCCCGCAAAACATCTGATTCGCGTTGTTCATAACGCTCGTTACTGGTCATAAGAATTCTCGAAGCCACGATGGTTGTTATGAACCTGACTGTGGTGGAAAGGTATGTCAATTCTACCTTCTAGATCTCTGTAGATTATGGAAGCATCTTCAGCGCATTATAAGAATCTGGGTCTCGGAATTCATTTCAGCCTTTATGATGCCTCACGATAACCATATTATCGAGGTCGAGAAAGCTCTGGCTGCAAGTGATGCAGCACTCAGTGTTAGCATTGACGAGGGAGTCATCGGCGTAGGCATCTCAACATTCCATGAACAACGAGCGGCACTCTTGGTCGTCGACCCAGAGTGAGGTGTTTCTTCTTCAATCCTCTGATCCCAACTGAACATCCGCTCCAGAGAAGCTAGAATCGAATTCGGCGAAGCTGTAGGGTCCATGTTGAAGCTTCCTCGAGATGGAACCAAGGTTCTGTGGCCTTATCCGATGGACTCAGATCGTGACCCTCAGAACTGGAGCGATATGCGCGAGACTGTGCATCTCATCATCATTACATTGGCCGCCATTGTGCCGGATTTTGATAGTGGAATAGGTAAAGAACATGTGCGCATATCTTGGCTTCATAGTCATTTCCGGCTGCGAGGGTATCACGTCTCTGTTCCGACTGGCGGAACAATACGATACGACTACCGGCGTATGTCTAATCACTTTGCTTCGTACATCATTCTGATGCGGCCTTTCTAGCTGGAGCATCTTTCTCTTTGGTGAGGTTGGTTCTCCGTGTGGTGCTGCCGCGTCCCTTACTCGTATTCTACAGGATGGGGAGGGTTCTGTGTTGTGGTGGTGATGCGTCGTTGCGGGCGTCTTCCCGTACTCTTTTGAACACAGCTTCTTGCCCTTGGTTTTCTCATGGGATGCACATTTGCCCCGAATCTGGAGGCGTTCGCGAGTGGGTGACGTCTTCCTTGTATTCATGCACCTGTGTTCAATGAGGTGTTTCTCAGCTTTCTTTGGGTAAGCCTCAAGTGCCCCTTTTACAGGACGTTCTCTAATCCATCTGTATCTAGAACAGCCCCTCAAGTCGCGGTATGGAGGGCGTTCTTCAAGGCTTCATATATTATCTCAATGCTTGCATAGGGATTATACGTCGTAACTGACTTGTATCTTTTTCACCTTCAAGCCCGAAAGGCATTTGACGCGCTCTCCAAGGTACACCGAAAACTCAAACCCGTGTAGGACGGGCCAGAGTCCCTTTTGGCGAACTTTTATCGTCGACAGAATGAACTAGTCATAAAGCAAAGATAAGACCAGGGAACAGTCTATCCCTTACTCGGCTGCTCACACTACTCAGCGACCTCCACGAGTCGCGCGGTGGCATCCTCGTCTTTGTTTTTGCAGTGGCACGTGCCAAACAAAGAGATGGCTACACTATAAAGTGGCAGGGTCGTTTTGACCATTCATATCTAAATCCCTCGACCTCCTCAGCCACCGTCGCCACTATGGACGCTCCGAACTTTATCGACCACGACCTGTGGGGTTCGCTTCAACCCCTCAATGAAACCAACCTATTTCGGATGGACTTTCTCAAAATCTTCAGTCTCATCACGATAGGGCGCCATCCCCAGAAGAATCACTTCGTTCTTCCTGGTCAGAGAATCAGTCAGGAGGTCTATGAGCATAACTATTTCCAATGTTGATCTTGGTACTAGGTAACCAGCACTGTGAAATCCTTTGGGAGGATAAATCTGTCGTTGTGAAGGACATGTCAAGCAATGGGACTTGGGTTAGTTCGCGTCTATAGTCCTGGCATGATGTTTCTCATTAGTAGTCGTGTTGTTCGTTAGATTAATGAGCAGCTGCTTGGAAAGGGCAAGAGTCAGCTCCTTCACGATGGGGACTTGATCGCGTTTGGAACAGCCATGCCACAAGACTCGGAGGATTATCGTGCGTATACTTGCATCTGTTTCTCGCCGTTGCTTGACCCTCAGACATAGGGTTTGTCTTTCACACCCATACAACCGACCTACAGGAGTTCGACCGCGGCGAGTTGTACCTCCACTACGAGATTTCCCACAAACTTGGGAGCGGCAGCTTTGGTACTGTGAGCAAAGGGATGTGTCTTGCCACGGGTGAATGGGTCGCTATCAAGGTTATCACCCCGCCCAAGTCCTTCGGGAAGGGTTCCGTCAAGATGTGCGTCAACATGGCGAGGGAAGTGAGCATAATGAGTAATATCAAGCATCCGAATATCTGCGAGTTGAAGGACGCTTTTCATCATGAACATGATGGGTCGTTGAGTGGGTGTTTTGTCTTCCTTGTGGTTATATGGCGAGACTGAGTGGTGGGATAGATTTGGTTATGGAGTTGGTTCGTGGGGGAGACCTGTATGCGCATATACAAGCCGGACTGGTAGACGATGAGGATGCGGCGAGGTTTATAACTTGGCAGATATGTGATGCGCTTGCTGTACGTTACACTTTCGACCCTTTCGTTCCGTCTTGATTGATGATGGCATGCTAGTACCTACATAGCCATGGTATTACGCACCGCGATGTCAAGCCAGACGTGCGTGGTAGTAGATAACCGGCGTCTCTGTCTCAGCTGATGGTCAAACCACGTAGAACATCCTCCTCACCGACGACTTACCTCCCATCGTTAAGCTCGCCGACTTTGGGCTAGCGAAGATCGTCGATGACTATACTATGCTCCGGGTAAGGACCTTCCCTCCCTCCCTTCCTTGCCACTTTCCCCCTGAACTGACGCACTGTCAGACCGACTGTGGCACCCCCGAGTACAATCCCCCAGAAGTGTACCGAGAAGCGGCCAATGGCTACGACCACCTCGCAGATAGCTGGGCTGTTGGGACTATCGTGTTCGCCATGTCCGTTTTTTCCGTTCGTCTTCTACTTTAGTATGTGTTTCACTCACGCCATATATAGGCTCGCGAAGTACATGCCGATGACGGTGTCTACGGACGACCCGCAGAGAAATGAGCTGGACGACTGGGATACGCTGATCGGTTGGGATCTCTTGAATGAGTCGGGGTGTACTTTAGAAGGTTACCCCTTTTTTTTTTTTTACCTTCCAGTCCCGTTCCATTTATTTACTGGTTATGAATGATTAGGGAAACAATTCACCTGGCTCCTCCTCCGATCTGATCCCAAAGAACGTATGACGGTGAAGAACGCCGTCAAGCAGAAATGGATCGCTCCGTGGTTAGATGAGATGAGGAAGACGAGAGACGAGGTACTCGCTGCTAGGGGGGCGTGTAGGTATTTGGATTATCGGGAGGATTATCGAGCAGAGGGGGAGGGGGAGGAGGCTGACTCGAAGGCGTGATGTATCTGTATAACAATGATGAGAGTGAATGTCCTCTTCAACTTTCGTCTTGGGACGCATTTGATTATCGGGGAAATAATTTCTACCTATGATATGTATGAATTGTGAAGGCTTTTTCTGTCCAAGCGCAACCGCTGCCGGTAGTTACGTAAGTATCTTCTTCAAAGCCGTGGCCATCTCGACCAATATCTGCCACAGATATTGAGTATGGCAGGTCCGAGTCATTGGACCATCATATCTATGCAGAGAAAGAAGCATGAATTTGTGCGTGTTGTCGTGCTCAGGGTCTTGGTCACTTGCGTCTCTCCGTCATACTTCACCGCTTGGGATATGTACTCTCGGCACCGGATCTGTCGTTGTGATAGCGAGACACTCGCCCGTGGAAGGGGTTATGTGATGGAGCACCATTTCCTCAGACTAAAGATAGACGACAACCGGCCATATTCTGAATGGTAACATCTCCTTCCACAGCCATCAATCTGAAAGGGTCCGGGCTATTAAAGTCAATCATCCGTTCGAGTGAATGATCAAAAGCCCAGCAACCTTTATGTCATGGAACGCTTTACCAAATTCTTAACGCAATTGATTACCGTTTCGTTCGTCTGCTTCTATTATTAGCATGCTCGACCCTTCTTATGCAACTTTTCGCGTCTCCCTCCGCTGGCCCACTCCCCGAGCTTAAAAAAGACGGCACTGGACCTGGACCTTGTCGTTGTGGTAGCTACAGGACTCGGAGGATTTCTTTTGTCGCAACCTCCTTGACAAGAGGAGGACGGGCAAATGCTGACTGTCTGAATGCGATGATGCTCCTTCGCAGCCATGGAATTTGATCGTGGTGGAGGTACGACGACTCGGTCTGGGCTATTAACGGCCAACCCCCATCATCGAGTGATGACCTACCTACCTACCTACCTACCCGCCAACCCGCTACAATGGAAATGCCTTACCAAATGACCCAAATGACGAACGCAAATTGATCATGAATGGTTGGGTTGGTTCTCCACTTCGTCATTCCCTACTTCCCGGGCGAACACGACTGATTGGCTGCCTTCCACACTCGGAACTTTGTCTTTGTTGGAACTGAGGTAGAAGAAGAAGAAGAAGATATTCGTACACGTGTTCACTGGAGCCAAGACCCAAGACCCGAGCCGGGGGCAACGCTTCTCCATCCGCCATCCGAGTCCAACAGCCCAGCCCCGTTCGTCGCTTTCACCCCAGAAACGTATTTTTATGTTCTTTCACACGGGGACGGGGTCGTGAATAACCACGCCAGAGTCAGTTGCGATACGCGCATCCTGAGATGGAGAAGGCCATATCACGACGACTTACGGTATCGAACCTCTCGCCGAGCCCTTGCGACGTTTCCCCCCCTCCCCTCTCCTTTATCCTACACTCAAACCGGTGGCATTCTTTGGAATGGGGAGATGATAATCAGTGACGGTTACGATGTCAGACTCTGAGGAAAGTTCGGATGGGCCAAGATCCATTCTCCACTGGCATATCTCGCACGAGCATCGTACTTTGGAACTTTGTCGCTCCCTCTCTCGTTCCCCTGAGATGCCGAACCCTTCCTTCCCCATTGCGAAATCTTCAGTGGGATGAAATCAAGTTCGCCAGGATGGAGATACCTTTCTTTTTCCAGTTGGGGATGCTTGCAGAGGAGATTCTTTACAGGGTCCTGGATAAGTGTATGATGAGACTCGTAGCCATGACGTACCCACACCTGATGTGATTCGACCTTTATAGAGTGTGATGGTGGCATGTGCTTCAATATCGTATATGACACTTATAATTGCGAATATCAAAATCGTCACGCCTCGGGCACGCGGTCCGCGGTTCTAAAATCTGATTTTTCTTGTTTGCACAGACATTCTTTGCTTTCTCTAACCCTAACCTCCGAATTTCTTCACATCGCAATTCTTTCATTCCCGCCTGCAAGCGATACTGAGCCCATGCTCATTCCTCGAATCCGTGGCTTCCGCGACAGGGCCTCTCGTATTGGAAACGAGCCGTGAGCCGTCGACATGTGGAAGCCAGCTAATTGCAACAAGGGTCCAATACGGCAGCAGATTCTCGTTTCGTTCGTGGGGGTGAAGAACAACCGGGCGCGGAGTTCATGGTCCTAATGCGAGGAGCTGGCTGGAAGGGTTATGGGTCCCACGATCAAGGAGGATGTGGAGGAGGAAGAGGAAGGTGCGTATTCGTGTTCTCTTTGTCGTGCTTGACGCTGATGCTAGGTCTTGGTCGGGGCCACCGTGGACGACAGCGATGCTTGTTTCGGCGCGATGGCAAACAGACAGTGAACCCCCCTCCCCTCCCCTTTGCACGAGGTGTGCGGACGCGGAGTGTGTGCTCCAAAGAAATCCAACTGTGAAAATTTTGAGGATGTTGGAAGTACAATGGTAGCTACTGTAGGTAGAATTACACGGCACGCGTCCATCGAAGGGACGCGGCCGGGCGTAGTATCATTCGATGGTTCCTCTTTCATGTCATCCATTAGCCTACGGTGTTTCCTGAAAGCGATAAGCTCAAGCTCCTACCTCGAACCTGAACAGTGGGTTTCGCGACACCGGACCGCCATTGGATGGGTGTGTGTGTTTATTTTATTTAATGGCCAACAAGGGTATCCAGGATCCAAGCAAACATACCCGCCCCGGGCAGTTCTAGGAAGGGTGCGCGTTTTTTAGTCGTTTCTTGGCGCCGATTGTGGTCCCAGGTCCCGGGTACACGGCTAAGATTGAAAAATTATAGTAGAAACGAATTTGTCATTCCACAATTAACCCGTGATGATGTGCTTTTTTTCCCATTGGTTCACCACTAGCACTGCTGACCTCGAGTTCCAGGTTCTTTTTCTTTTTTCTTCTTTCGCATGATGGTGCCAAACTGTTTATGTTGCTTTGGATGTTTCGTGGGCCCTTGGAAGATTGTCTTCCCCTATCCTTGCACGTATAGGTTCAGGATTACAAAAATTTCATACGGCTGCGCGTAAATGCTGCGAGTTTCCTTTCCCCCTTAAGTAAGAAGAGACGGATTTGTCATCTCCCCCCCTCCCCCCCTTTTCACCAAGACCCGGGGGGGGGGCGGGATTTACATGTCAGAAAAAAAAAAAGTTGACGGTCCGACTGCGGACGACTCTTATCACAAAGGACGCGTTCTCTTATCAATTTGCGAGAAAAATAGATTTAAAAAAGCCCGTCATATACGCGCTTGAATTGCTACTCGTTCGTCCTTATCAATTTGCGGGAGGCCATCGCGGGCAATGTCATGGGGTGGGGTGGGGGGGGAACGCTCAGTACGCGCTTAAATTGCTACTCGTTCTTCCTTATCAATTTGCGAGAAAAGAAAAATAAAATAAAAAGGCGATTTCCCGTTGGGCGTTCAATACCCGCCTCCTCTGCGCTCAAATACCCTATGTCCCATGTCCCATGTCTGGGCCCCCGAAAAAAGAAAGTTTTAGAGGTGCCGAGGAGGGTAGCGGAGTGATTAATGGAGGGAGGCGGCTGTAGGGCGTAAGAAAGACGGCGGGCGAGGGTGAGATGGGGATCCGTATGGGAAGGCTGAGGATTTGCGCATGGGGATGGGTGGGGGGGGGGGTAACCCGCTTTATGCGCACGCGCACGGTGAGTACAGTACAGAGCGAGGGATGTGTATCCCGTCAGGGTCAGGATTGAAGGTGTGGTGAAAGAAATCCCGTGGTGCCAGGGAATTCTGCGTGTATATAGGGATGAGTCATGATGGAAAGAAGCGGAGGGGAGAGAAAGGTCCCACGGCAATTGAAGGGAAAATCCCGACGAGATGCCTGAACGTATGGGGAAAGGACCCAGGGCCAGGGTTGATGCATCCACTGGGGGGAATAGAATAGAAAGCCATGACATGGAAGATCCCGGAGCGGAATAGAATAGAATAGAATAGAGAATTGGTGGCGTAGGGCTAGGTGAAGTAAGTTACCCGGTGAACCAGGGAGTCCTGGCCTCGTGTAAAACGCATGGAATCAAAAGCCGGATCGACGAGAATTTCATTGAAGAGGGTTGGGTGAGTCATACGACGATCGTGGTGGGAGGTTGCAAAAGAGGGTAAAGGGTGGGAAGAAGAAGGGGGGGTTGCGAGTAGAATCATGACTCCGTTGCTGGCCGAGTATGAGTGGTGGTGGTGGACATGGTAACGATGGGATGGGGGGCTGAGGGAGGGGGAGTGATCCGTGTGGTGGCGGTGGTACTGTTCGGGTAACCAAAACGTCTACCTTGGATGGGGAGAGAGAAGGTGTATGATGCGGCGAGGTTGATATCATCGATGGTGTGGTATATATAACTGTGGGGGAGGCAATTGACGAAGAGACGGGCCGGTGGAAGAAGGTACGGAGGCAATGGTGGCCGAATATGAAATGGATATTAGTAACAGCGACGAGCTACCGACTGTCGACCTGGACGACGAGCGACGAGCGTTACCTTATACACATGCACAGGGTTAGTCATTGTCCACGCCGAAGCCTGGCAGCCCAGCCAATTTCCCTCATGGCATCACGGGAGGGATACGTGACGTGTCACGTGTCACAGATCAATTAAATAAAGAGTGACGACGTTAATTGAGACACTCAACCCCTCGAATTTGATTCCCCCCCATTCCGCCTTGTTGGGTTATTCCCATGTCGTCGTCGTTGTCGTCGTCATCATCCCCGTCCAAATCCGAGCGCCTCCTCCGGGACGTCCTGACGAACAGCGCGCCACCGTCGCCTTCCCGCCAGCATCGCCGCCGACATTCCACGCCCGTCCCCACGCGGAAAGGTGAGGACGAGTTGAGGGCGCCCCATGAGCAGGTCCTGCGAGCGAGGCTGGAGAGAGTCCTGTGCGAGGTGCGGTATCATACCTGCGGGGCCGCCGCTTCTAACTCGCTCAACCCAAAGAGCAACGTCCTCCTCACCCCACCGCCTACGCCGCCCCGGAGCAGTACATCGACACCGCTGCCATCATCACCACCACGACGATCCATGTCTGTGCGCTCCTCGCCACCGCCCTTTCGGAAACCGTCCTTCCCCCCAACACCGACAGAGGACCTCCCACCACCACCACCACAACTGCCCTCCACGCAAAAGTTCAATGCCCGGACCGCCTCTCTCCAGTGTCGCCTCATAGATGGATACGTCTCCTTTGCTGCAGTCGAGGGTCTCGGCGCGCCCCCGCCCGACCCGCCTGAGGAGATGGACACCCGTGTCGAGGAAGGCGGGTGGCAGAGGGTCTGGAAATGGGTCGGTGTCGGGAGTTGACTACTCTTTTCTTCGTTATATTATATTATACCATTCTCTGCGCTTTCTTTGTCCTGCTTTCATACGTATTTTATATTATGGGGTTTCTTGGATTATGTGTTTTTAGCATCTACTACCTACCTAGGGGGACGAATGAAATATTGAAAGAAGTTTTTCCTTTTTTTTTTTTGGACTGCTAAATTTTTTTTTTTCGGGGGCTTGACAGGAAAGCGATCGGTATGGGCGACGTTTCCCCATTGCTGCTCCACTCTCGCGAACTCGCAGTGTTGATTTGTGGATTTGTGGAGCGGAGGTATATGCTGCCGCCGGCCACGTTGTCATGGGACCTTGAACCTCTGGACCGTTACGCTTGATGCTCTACCAGCGCCACCCCAGGGCAGGGCCCATGCGACTGCGGGCCCCCATGAGCTTAACATGCAACTGGCGGGACTAGCTCGAGACGGTTTCAGTATCGTCCGTCACCCACGAGAGCCAGCTGCAAGGGCACGCATACCAATTTCATTTTTACCTTCTAGCCCACCGCTATCTCTTCACGCCCGCCTCGGGAGCACCTGTAACTTCTCCCCACGTGGTGTGTTGTTTGGCGGCTTATATATTCTCAGCCGCGGCCGTTGGAGGCATGGACCCTATGACATCGCAAGCGTCAGAGTCCGGTGGAGACACCCTTCCTGCGTGGACGAGAACATCACTGTCACTATGTGAGAGATCCCCCATACGCTCAGACATTTCATTTCCTTCAGGACTTTTTTTTTGTTTTTTTCTCTTTCCATCGTCGCACCATTCATTTCTTAGAGTCGCTTTGAAACGAATCATTCATTACTCATCACTGCGTCTCTTATTTTCCCGTTTTTAAGGAACGAGTGCGAGTCTCCCTTTGTGATAAGGGGGTCGGTCGATGCACTTGCGATTGCGACTGCGAGCGGGCCCGGGAACTAAGCTCGAGGCAGGGTGGACTAGCTGCATGAGCCATCCCCCCCCCATACATAACCAAATTCATCACCCTTCTAGCCCCCCCACCGCGGACTCGGAGGAAGCCGCCCGCGTTGGAGAGAACACTCCCTTCCCTGGTCGCGGCGCGCCGGCCGTTGTATTAGGGCCAGGGTTTTGAATTCTCTCCTCCCCCCTCATGACCAACCCAAGGGTTTTTTTCTATTCAGCCGCACCTATCGAGTGAAGATGCGATCACTATCGAATGGGGGGGCCTCTCGTATCGATCGTATTGGAAATGATACCGCTGACAAGGGACGGTATCTCTCGGGTGTGGAAGCTCATCGGAGACAAGCTCCAGCCCTACGGTAGCAGGTTCTCGTTTGTGGGTGAGGTGTTGGATGCGGAGTTCATGGTCGTCATGCAGAGCGCCGTGTTCAGGAAAGGCTACAAGGGTATGGAGCCGGCAAAGATACCGCAGTTTAAGGAGGGTGAGCGAGATAAAGTAGCGAAGAAGCTGGTAGAGGAAGGTGTACGCGTTCTCTATCGTGTTCTCTCGTTTCTTTGGCACTGATTCTGTGCACTAGGTCTTGGTCACTTGACGCGTCTAGACTGAACGTATAACGTTGCTATGTATCATACCGTTTCGCCAAAAGGAAATCGATATCTGGATTCGAGATTGAGTTCAGCTTTAGGGTGGCACATTCGAGCTAGGGATGTTGTGCCAATTGAGGGGACGCGGAGCACGTATGAGGACGACGATACGATAAATCGATACTCGTTCGGCGGTCAAGGTAGAGACAAGACGACCAATGAGTGACCGTTGACGACGGCATGACAAGTACGCTTGGGACGTGTGGCAACCCAAAAGTGTCAAACTACGGACATGACGGAAGTTTTTTTTTTTTTCCGATATTGCAAGTTACGGACTGTCATCGTGGTCCATGGCATTTGTTCGCCCTTTCTGGCTGATTGATCTGGCGCAAAGTTATTATTGTCACAGCCCAAGCCTCTTTCTTATAGAACGCCAACTTCAACGTTGAGTGCTATCCCATTTCTTGTGTTTGGCTCACTTCAATAGGCTAGTTAGACTGCAGTGTTTCCCGGAAGGGATAAGGCCAGACGAGTGCCCCCCGTGCACGTCCCTAGCCTGGCCATGGGTGGGTGGACTGTTCGAATTGGCCTCTCGTAATCGTACGCGACATCACTTGGGGCGTGCAAGCTGAATCGAAACAAACCGTCAAACTCTACGGCTGGATTTTCCTCGCTTGTGGGTCCAGTTAGAGCTGGTGGCTTCGAGGGTATGGATGGTATGGACCTCCTCCCCCACCCAGGAGAGCGGGAGAAGAGGAGAGGAGGGTGTGCGCGTCCTCGTTTTTGTCCAGCTCTTTGGTCATTTGGAAAAGCTGGCGATGTATTTTGTCCCGTCGAATATTGCATATGATTCTCTCTGCCCTTGCCTGGAATGAAAAGGCAAGACGAGACAACCGGGGGGTCATGGGGGCCTCTGCTCCGCGTGTCGGACCTGGAACAAGTCGTGGTAAGCTGTATGTTTAGCGCATGTTCTCTTTGCGCATGAACGTGAACGTGGTACGCGCGCCCTTGAAAGTTGATCCTCGTGTTCATGCAGCTTGTCATGGTTCCCGTGGCTCGTGGGGTGATGATACTTTTCTTTCATGGGCTTTTCCGGGCCAGGGTAGGGTGTGCATGATCCAGAGGTGCAAAGATTATTTATTCTCTGGGCTCTAGCTCCAATCGCCCGCCGGTCTTAAGGTCGCGGCACGGTACGTAGACCGGGGCAGGTAAGTCTGCATCGTCATGGTTTCTTTTTTTTTTAAAATCCCTTTGTTCATAGCAGCTAGCTTGTCATCGGTGGGGATTCCAGACAACTTGACGCGTACCTAATATATTTCTTCCTTGGGGCGACGAAAACAGCTCTTTTCGTGAGGTGCGTTCGGGGAGAGATGGGCGATAATTTACATACGGGTAATGCCGCGGTCATCCTTCTTTTGACAGGAATGCTAATTCTATCGGCTTTGCCAGCCGTTTCATATCACAAACCTTGTGAAGTGGGGAGGCGGGATTACGTAAAGTGTCGGGACAATGTCTCGGCCCTTATCCACAAAGGACTCCGTTCCTTGGAAAAAGGGAAAAGAAAAGCCATCTAGTTCGTTCCCCCCTCCCAACTCGCTGTCCATGACGAAGCCACCTCGAAGGTGTGTGCGAGGTATGAGCCTGGGCTTGGTAGGCGTATCACTTTCAGGAAACATTGTATTCTGTGGAAGACGATGTCACATAAGGAGTAGGCAGAAAAGCGATGACACGTGCTTCCGTGCGGAAGTTGAGTTGATGCAGAGAAAGCAAGGTTTATATACATCGAATCACAGCATGGTGTCTGGGCAAACAATTAGATCCAGATTTACCATGACTCTTGGCAGGCGCCCGCCGCGACCCACAAGAATCAGCGCGCGTCGTGCACATTATCCGGTAACAGGAATCTTATATCCGCAAGCGAGCGGATAGAAAGAGGTGCGAACCGTGACATTATATTACTAAATATAATATGATACATGCTAACCCTGTGCAGAACGATTTTCCGGTGTAGGAATGGCTAGGTTAGAAGACCCGAGCTGGAACGTATATTCTGAGGCGGTATTTGCGAGTGATGATATGATCTGAACGGGGAACTCAGACATTTCTTTCCATCGTCGCGCAATTATCATTTCCTTGGAGATATCCAACCCGTCCTTTGTTTCCTCTTCCCTGCGCATAAAGACGAATTTACCTATCCATCTACCGTGCGGAACCAACCCTCCCCCTTCCTCACTTTAAATAAATAATTACTCATCACGCGCCTCTTATTTGAGCGTGGGCGATAGGGCAGAATTAGATGGCCCTTTTTTTCCCGTTTGTTAAGGGAACGAGTCCGTTGTGATAAGGGGTCGCGTCTATTACCATCCCGATGCTTCATGTAATGCCGGCCTCTCCACTTCACAACGTCGGCCACTCGTAAAAGCATAATAGTGGGGAAGACTGTTCAGAGAGTGTCAATTTAAAGGTAGTCAGGGAGGACAAGCAGCCCGGGGCTCCATAGATGCCCCCCCAATGATGGGGAATAAGGACACCCTTCTTCTTCCCCGGCTCGTGAAATCTGGCCCCGCTGGGAAAGACGATCAATGCAGTGGAGGAGTTCTGTGAATCGGATCCCCAAACACTTCACGAACTCAAAGGAAGAATGTGCGACCAGCCATATGTCAGTTTGGCAATCTTCACGCGTTTGAGTGTCGAACTCTCCTTGCTGGGAATGTGCATCCGAACACTGTGTTGCAAACGGAGGACCTTTCCAAGGAGGACGGAAGCTGAGTCATGACAGGTCCAGTGCCAGAGCGACGAAACGTGAGGCCTGAGGGGGGGAAGGCGCGAAAGGTGCTCAGAAGGACGGTACCACATGAATCCGGGCCCGAGAGAAACCTGGCACCACGCAAGCGATGACATTTCTCTTCTCTATGCACAGCTACCACTTCTTGTCATCCCGGGGGAACAACCAAGGCCGCAGGGCAGAGAATACGTATGTATTCATCGTAGCCTTTTTTTCAGTCCAGAGACCATGACCTGGAGCATCGAATCAGCGCGGCAAGAAACGGAGAACCCGCACCCTCCTCTTCTCCTACTCACCCTCCCTTGAACTGCGGTATCAGAAAGGAGAGATTCGTACCCTCGGAGCCCTGCCTGAGCACGCTCTCCGAGTCCAGGACTTTTCACATGAATGAGAAAATGCAGCTGTAGGGCTGGGGCTCATTAACATTATCGATTAGCTTCCGCGCCCAAGTGATGTCGTCCTCCATGGGGAGAAAGCAAGGGTTAATTAAATCCAACTACATTATGTCTACCCTTTGGCTGTGACTCGGGCAATAATGCTACTTTCTCCACGCCAGCCAGAAAGGACGGACAATGGCTCGGACAACGTCGACAATATCAAAACCTTGTTCTCATCCCTATTTAGACTCTACGCAGACTTCAGAAAGAAGGACAAGAGTCGCGTTGAATGTGCAGCTACCGCGACCTTTCCTTAGGCTCATGACTAGGCAGGCCTGCAGCTCGCTATATATCAACCGGGCGTAAAGCATCAGGTATTGGGCGCGAGGCGTTTTCAAGATATCCTCTAGGGCAGAGAATACGTATTCCTTTCGAGAGATATCGTATAATACAGAGAAGAGACGCGTGGCAAATTCCAAATGGTCTAGACCTGGGACATAGAATCAGCGCTAAAGAAACAAGAACACGATAGAGACCGCGTACCTTCTTCCTCTAGGAGCTTCCTCGCGACTTTTTTCACGCTCACCCTCCTTAAACTGCGGTATCTTTGCTGGGTCCATACCCTTGTAGCCTTTCCTGAACACGGCGCTCCGCGTGACGATCATGAACTCCGCGTCCAACACTTCACCCACACATGAGGATCTGCTGCCGTAGGGCTGGAGCTTGTCTTCAATGAGTTCTCACACCAATCCGATGTTGTCCTTTGTTAACTGTCGATTTGCAAGACGAGAGGCCCATTCGATAGCAGTATCGCGGTCCATGATGAAGCCACCTTAAGGCGTGTGCGAGGTATGAGTCTGGGCTTGGTAGGCGTGTCGTTTTCGAGGAACATTGTAGGCTATGGAAGATGAACGTCACATAAGAAATAGGCAGAAAAGCGATGACACGTACTTTCAAGTTCGAGCGTGCGGAAGGTTTACATACATTGAATCACATGATGGTGTCTGGGCAAACAAAAACAATCAGATCCAGATTACAATGCACGCACCGCGACCCACAAGAACCAACGCGCGTCGCGCACATTATCCGGCAGCAGGAATTTTATATGCGCAAGTGAGCGGATAAAAAGAGGTAGGAACCGTGACATCATATTATTAAATATAATATGATACATGCTCGTATACTCTGAGCCTTGAGGCGATCTTTGCGAGTGATGATATGATCTAAACAAGGAATCAACTGTGCTCTTGGTAAGGCGTTCCATCGCACCTGCGTGCTGTGACACAAGTTGCTGGGTGGGTGGTCTTTTTGGCGTTGTGCTGCACTTGCGCCAAATCGAATGCTACGATCAAATTGAGGTCCGTGCAGGGCTATGAAGGAGACCGGGAAACCGTGGTAGACGCTACCCATTCAGAGTGTCGGCATATGCGTTGCTTGTTTTAGGAAAAGTTGTGGAACGACGTCGAGAGAAAGAAAGAGTGATGGTGTCTGCAGTCACGCAAACAAGAACAATAAGATTTAGAACCACCCGCCGTGGTGCGCATGTCAGGCAACATGGATTTTATATTCGCAATGCAATTATCACTTGCAAGACTCAACCCAATGTGTGTTATTTTCTTTCGGAGGAACGTATAGGGCAAATTTCTGCTTTCTTCTCCCATTCTTGGTTTATCATTCAACGATGGGCAAGTATTTGCACTAGTAAGTAGTATTCGCAGATCTACAAGCCACTCGTTAACGTGGTGTCCTCGTTTCATTCACCAAAATACAGGTATATATACCATCTACGGGTAAGACGAAAGATTGCTCTTAGCATTAGCCCGAATAATGGGACATCCGCCATTATTAACCCACTCCGAAGTCTCCTGGATGACAGCCGCAATCAGAGAGATCGACTCAGCTGTGATCGCATGGTCCACCCTTCCTCAACAGGCAAACGCTCCTCGCGGAAAAATATATCCACGAACCCATCCAGTAAAAAAATCATTCAGCATCCCACAACATACAACTCGGTCGGTCAAACGTACTCCTCGGGCGCGACATCCGTCACTGGATCACCCATCACATTCAGATAAAGCGCAGACTCGCGGGTGCGTATCGTGAACTCCTTGATGGCATTGATGATACCTGGGATTGGCGAGCGTGTCGTCCGCCAGGCGCTGCTTCTGGACTTGCCCCACGGAGGTGGCGTTGAAGTAGTCCACACCGGGGTTGGACTGGGTGAGCGTGGTGTAGATCGTCTCGTTGAAGTGAAGGTTATAGCCGAGGAGGTAGTCCGAGCGGGGGAGGGAGGCGTCGTGTTCGATTGTGCCGTGTCTATAGGGGTGGGTCAGGAGAGAGGACGTGCGATGTATAGACTAAGAGATGCCTACAGTTTGAGATCATCGAGAGTGACGCTATCAGGAGCCTCCGTGGTGAGAAGGCCGACCTTGGCAGAGAGGATGAGAATCGACGGGTCGACGTTGAAGCCTTCTGCTGGAAGCGTAAGAAAGTTTTTACCGAGAATATAAGAAAATCTCTTCCTGACCTAACCCAGCGTTGAATATCATATTGATGGTGATATTTTTACCATCTCACGGCAGAAAACCATGATTCGCAAGGCTAGAGAAACCTCGTCAGTCTACGGTAGAGAACGAACAGAGCCCAACGACAAACGCGTTCAGACCCGGACACGGGCTACACAAATCGGAAGCTCCAGGTGCTTCCCATTCGTGCGGCTTCTAATCAATGGCATAGGCACTACTAGAAAGAAGAGATACGACAGGAAAGACGCTGGGAAGCATTGCAAGCTTAAGCTAAAGGTTTGACTGGCTCACCTTCTTATACCTTCACAGCGTAGGAACCTCTTGTGCTGAAGGAAGAGAAATTTGGACTCCTCCGACGAAGATGAGATATCACCCCGACGCCACATAGCCTGAGAATTACAGCATTCAGGCATTCAGGGAGAAGAGAATACACTCACGAGATGACATCTCCTTCGGTTATGATTGGCTGGATATGCCATACATTTACCGTAAGGAATGACACATAGAGTCCAGCAACGGGAAGTGAGGAATGCAATGATTTTTTTGTTTTTAGTTCCTCAACAGCCTGGACTTCCTTTTGATATGCATCACTGGTTCGTCCCACCGTTTTTCGTTTCCCACGGAACGGTGGTTGCCGGTCAAACGTCTTTGCCTGTCGCAAACAATGAACGGAGCGCCCAAGACATGAAACAGCGAGAAAGATGCATAGATCACCCCAAGGCAACCATCACATTGCGGCGCGCCAAGAGAGTAAGATAAGTAGACCTCGAACGCCCCGGGCCATGAACGTCCGATTGATTCCACGATAAAACTCCGTCGCTTCGGCTGGCAGGAGCTTGGACCGGCGTGAACCACTATTATCTGAAGGGGATAGGTAGAGCAATATCCCTTATACACCTTCATCCATAGTGTCGTATTTCGGACCAATGGTACGAATAGCTGATCCAGTGTTTGGGCCTGCGTCCCAAGTCGTATGGGTTTACGAACATCGGGATGTCCCTAGAGACGGCTGACTTCTAATAAGCGCGATGATCGTGGTCTTGGTGGTGTCCTGTTTGCCTGGGAGGGAATAAAGTAGTGTCTGTTACGGACGATCCCTAGACAAATAAGGGTGGAAGTTTGTCTGTCCATATGCAGTTGTATGACAAACAGTCCATGGAACGAGTCTGGCGTGTACCTCAGTTGGACCGAGAAAAGTCATGTTCACATCCATCGGACCCGCCTGTACAAGGTCGAAATCATCTGCGTCGGCGGGCGCAAAGTAGTTGTATTTCCATCTCATCTAAAGCTATCCTAATCAAGCCTACGATCTGCGGGAGCGGGTGAGAAAATCATTAAAGCACAACGTAAAATAGTCCTGACATGTAGTGGTTATTGGATTCAGGTTAGTTCCTGAGGGTACATTGAGAGGCATTGCTACAAGCCATGGGTGGGTGGCTTTGGATCCTGACAGACTTCATGCGTCAAAACGAATCCACGAGAGCCGGTTTAAAAAGTTCTGGGAGTGATGTAGACAAGGGCAAGCATATAAACATCTAGCCCGACTTGCTTTAAACAATTGTTTTGAAAATGGGCGGCAACTTAAATAAACACAGCTCAACCGATAGAAGTCGAAGGGCGGGTTGGCTGGTATATGTTATGACAACCAGGACACGAGACATGTAACCAAACGATCGAGCTCGCAATTGAAAAGACGAAGAAATCAGGCGGGTTGACTCTGGTGAAGCAATAAGCATAAGGTCCCTAATGCTGGACACAAGGATAGACTCACCCAAGACCTCCTGCTTTCCTCCACGCTGCACATTTTTGGGAGGAATGGAAGGATTCCCCGCGAGAGTCAAGGCCCTCTTTCTCCTTCGCTGTCTCGTGTTTCGATACAGATAACAACATTGCCAGACTAATATACAGTTCACTGCAGGATAAATGCGCCTTGTTCATCGTTCTTTCTATGACTTGACCGCAAACCATTAATGACCAGGTAAAAAGGAAATGCTAGGCAACGCACGATTATAACGTAACAATTTTTCTTATCAAGTCCACATGCGTCAATACGATCCAGCGACAGCAGTATCATTCCAGCTGGAGCTCATCAAGGGCCTCGTTATACCAGAATCAGTAGGTGGGTTTGAAAATGGACGAAAAGTCCGGACCCTTCGCTTTGTCGTTCGACAAGAGCTCTAGGTAGTCGTTCCATTTGCCGCCAATGACCTTGCCGCAGGAGAAACAGCAAGCGCATATAATCGACGGTCTTTGAATGAGAAGAATAGTCGAGATAAAAGCGAGTGGATTTGCAATTGGATTGGACGATGGGCGGTAGCGCGATGATGGTGGTACGGAAGAAAGCCGCGAAGCGTGATTTGCTGTCCTTCTCACCATCACCATCTACACTGAGGATCTTATTGAATCTCTTACTAGGGCCGTCTCCTTCTGGCATTCAGGACCGTTCTGATCAGCCCACTGTTCGACACAGAGCCAGACCAAGGCAACTCGCCCAATCTTTTGCTCTCGAATTACCATCATCCTACGTTCACTCTTCCGGTTCGCAGAACCTGGTCATTCCGGAGATGCCGCAACAGGCAGGTAGGTTCACCTGACTCTGTCGAAGCGAGATCTGCATATATCGATAAAGTCATGGACCGATGAACGGGACATATTTTGCGTTGCTGAAGGAGGCAAATGGCGAGTACGTGCTATAAATTTCTGCCAGCAAAAGGATCGACATCTTTGATATATAACTCAGGTAAGAGTTACACTAAACGATACGCGAGGGACGAAATGGCGCCATTGGAAGGTTTCGGAAATCTACACCTGGACGAGGCTTCCGTGTTCGATGATGAAATGGTCGACTTGTATCAAGATACCATAGACGTTCTGTAAGGGCATCACTTGTCACTAGATATGCTAACCATATCTTTACATTGGGGTGCCACGGTTCCCACTATTCAAGGTTGAACATCACACGCTGAGATGGAGGGGACTGACGGGACTCCGAACAAGTCAACGTCCTTCTATCTGACCATCCAACTCACCTAGCATCTGTGGACACGTCGACTAGTAGTCTACGGTTCGTGGGTCTTGACGCTAACTCGCTAATCACGACTGTCGTCGCTGCATTACTTATTTAATGAAATAGTGGTTGCAGCAATATGTCTACGCCGTCTCTCACAGCTTCCCTCGCGACCGCGGACACATTCCTCATGTCTTATTGTATAGATCTGGTCAAGTGGCAGGTCCCTGTGATCGTCGGACTAGTCCCGGTTCTTCTCCTCGTATCTTAGCGCAGGATTCGCAATATTCCTGGTGGCTGTTGCATATCTGATCGGAGGTATGCGATTTTAGTGTCTGCATCAGCCTTCCTCTTCTTGATCACAGTTGTCCGTACAAGGCGCCCTCGATGTTCCCTCTGCGATAGATGCCTACCCGTATGTTTTCGGAAGAGCTACCGAGTCCTCCAAACTCCGTTTCTGAGAGAGATAGAACACCTTTTTTCTTGGAACGCCGCCTCAGGTGGAGTTGTGGATTCCTGGATCAACTTGGGAGATTTTCTGGGGAGTAGCTATCAGTCAGTGACCCACTCTGTGTGGGATCTGCTCCACCGTCTTCGGGTTAGTGTGTTTTATTCAGCCTTGAGAAGAATTTGACACTGTTGTACAGTCTTCGCGACCTTCTGTCTATCGATGGCGCCATACTGTTCGCTACATATGTCGTCGGCTACAGCGTCCCTCTTCACACGTATGACCAAAAAAATGAATCGCTATAATCGATTGATACTACGTTTGTATGCGAGTACTTCTTGTTTCCTTGCGAGGATACCCTTACGGACTAATGAGAACTTGGCTTGTCATGTGTTGCTTCGGTATCTCAGCTTCGTAATGATTCCCATTACTTCCGTCTGATGCCACGGAAACCATCCGTAGACTATACACATACTACTCCACCTGTTGCTTTATCAAATGAACTATACAGACGAATGGAGGATACAGTTATGATCCCAGACCATAGTACGTACATCTTCCAGGCCAACCGAATGACACGCAAACTGATCGGCTAGGTCGGTTGCGCTCGATTCGTGTACCGTCAGTCTGGTAGGATACATAAAAAATATATATAATCCGAGTTTTTGTTGCCCCTTCATGGTCTCGACCCTTGCCTCCTACCGAAGTTATGGCCTGAACGAGTGAATATGTTGCTGGTTGATGATCTATATCCGTTATGCTCTAACACTGATCCAAAACCCATCTATCGCACCTGTCCTAATCCCGGGATGCTTGCTAGGACAGAGAAAAATATATACGCAGTAATGGTCCAGAATAAAGACCGTTGGTTCTACAAATCTAGGTCGCGAAAGAGTCAATTGCTGATGGAAAGTGAGGTTTTTTTTGCCCTGCGGTATTTGTTTACATAAATAACCTAGGGCGAGTATAAAGGAGAAGAACTGCGCGGGTGCTCTGGTCAGCTCGCACCACCTCTTTACGATAAATGCACTACTTCACTTTACCTTCATCCTCTGCGATCAGGCCTTCCGTGGTACCGGAAGCCGGAAAACCTGTCGCTTGCGATAGTCGTCACAGCGAGCCTCAGTGCTGCCACTGTGGCTGGCGAGGCGCTCATGCGCCCGGATGTCCATTCAAGTAGTGCATCTACTCCCTGGTACGTATGTCTATTGCCACTCGGCCCTGCCTATAACAGTTACTTACGCTTCACTGAGCAGAAATTCGTTCAAATAATCAGCCTGGATTTTTCACTGTCTCCTCCCGCATCTTACTTTACGGATTCGTTCTTACCCATTCCTCTATGGATGACACTCTGAACACGTCGTATAACTTGTATTACATTCAGCTACATTACAGGCTAACAGTCGACTAAACCACTATGCTACATACAATAGGCGGAAAAAGGGATGCGACCAGTGTTGATATGAGAATACAGTATGCCCCTCCACCTACCACCATTGAATTTTCTCAGTCAGATATATACGCTCCGGTTCTGAGGTTTGTAGTGTTGACGGCAATCTCCAGCATTCTTCGACGAGAAGCCGGAGCCACTAAGCTGCGGCGTATAGGGAAGGGATACGGTGTCCCTTCACTGGGGCCAAATGCCGGTTTCTAAACTCTAAACACTAGGAAAGTACATACAAGAAGCTGAATAAGAACGAATTCGCATCAGCACTGGATCTTTGGGTATTAGCTACGCTATCAATGTCCTATCTGTGTCACAAGACCAGGAAACACTTTACTGTGCCTTGAGAAGGAAAGAGAAGAAGGGAGCTTGAATCTGAGGGACCGGGAATTGCCATTCAGCCGCTGAGAAAAGAGAGATAAGTACAGTGAGATTTATCATGTCTGAGAAAATCAGAAGACAAGATATTTCTATGGAACGAGGGAAGGTGTGAACAGGAGCGATAAAGAATCAACTATGTACCTGATGCAACCTGGACATTATCCGGAACAGTACCTCTGCATGATAGTGACGAATATTGGTACCGGAAACTCGGTAATCGCCAGGACAATGTTAATATCGCACGATACGGCAAAGGCCGAGTGAGAGTGCATTCTAGGCAATGCCCAGGGACCATCTACCATGACATGCGAAGCTTCATTAGGATCGACATGGTTTGTGATTGCCCCGACCGGGCATCAGAGGTGCGAAAGAAGGGAGTCTATACTGAAGTTCAAGTTCAAGTAGATAGACTTTTCTATCATGTTTCTCGAGAGTACTATAACCAGCAGCACATACAAGTCGGCCTCAAGTGAGCACACATAAATCGAATGTTTTGGAACCTGGCAACGAAACGAGCCGCGAAAAAATCAGCTTCGTCGAGCAGCATCCGCCATGAACCGTTTCGCGTATGAGTTGAAACGGGGGGCCGTAACCGGCATAAAGTGTTCAATGGGAAATCCAGTTCTCCGCCGTCGCTCGTGTCTTGTAACCTAGGAATTTTGATAATCACTGTCCCATGCTGTCAATAAGCCAGTTATTTCGGACACGTTTCTGAGAAGGATTTCCATGGACAAATATGAGGCATAGTAGCGCCGCCTACAAAAAATAAGATACGCACCACGAAGAGCAAAAACTCAGAAAATAACCCTAAGAGAGAGGAATTCAACTCCTAAAACCGTAAACAGTTCCAGATTCCCAGTGCTAGTACATAATAATAAAAACCTGTCGACGAAACAGCTGGTGGTGGTTGATAATGATCAGCTCGGACGCGACTGCTTGATTTCCACGCAACGCCCCACGTGACTTACCGGCTTCAACTTGCAACCACCACCAGCTTGGTGGCGATTCGCGAATGTCATGGTCTCTTTGATAACGGATCTATTCGTGCGGAAACATAGAGCACTGTTTCTTTAAGCATTTCTTGGAGGAATTTCCCTATCGATGGCTGAACTGTCTAAAGAACGACTGGGTCATTCATTCTGTCGATATGTATTACATCTTGACTCGCAAATAAATTCCACAGCTGGCCTGGGACCGCTGAGTGAGATCGTTTTTTGTCCTGCTCAACTGAACGCCGGTAATATCAGAAGAGAAATCTTTGTGGTGATTGATATCTGTGTTGAGTCAGTTCGTCCGCACCGCCCCGTCCTTTCCCATACAATGGCAGAAGGTGTGCCTACGCGGGGACCAGGAACAGATATTAGCGCCTGCAAAGTGCGAAGTCGTAGGGTCCAATATGTTCGTCGGACTGCTCAGCGACCATAATCAGAGTATTAATCAAACCATCTGTTTTGTCTGTTGTCCGCCATTGCGTCGCCCAACAGAATGGTGGTAAAGGATATCTTGCATCAGCTACTCATGCAGTAGCAGTATCACGGAGTGACCATGAAACCGTTTTACGAGAACGCATGGCAAATTTCTGGCTAGTTTGGATAGCAACTTTGACTAATACAAGTGTCGTCGATTCTTCATTGTGTGTCCTATCCTGCTCTTTCCTTATCCTTCACCCAACGGAGATTGTTCAAGCGTTGACACCGACGGACTTTCCAATGCAAATCTCGGCCTTAAAAGTGTCATAGCTATGGCTTGTATGGGAAGATTGCCGGTACCTTGTGGGAGGGCGACGATGAGTTAAATTACCAGGTGAATGCGTTCCTCTTTTCTCTTTCAATAGCCGGTCTTATGATAGTTATAGGGATTAGCAGAGTCGCGTATTGGGGCGTGGACAGGTCGGCAAATGACGGGGACCACATCGTATCTAAGTACGGGGACAATTCCATCAATCGGAGTATTTGGAGCAGATTAAGAACCATAGCTGAACCAAAATTGCAAACGTCTAGCAAGGTTTGTCCTCACGTTACACCACCATGCTGTTGACCCTGATCTCAACCATTAACACTAGATCGCGGCAAGGTGGTCAGATCTGCTGTAAACAATACGGATCTGCTATATTCTTTCGGACGCGAACGATCTGGTCAAGGTATCAGCGAACAACTCAAATCAAGCTTCAATCAGCGTAGAGACAGTCCATCATACCAAGAAATGCTGGTGGCGTATTATTTTATCTTCTGCACTTAATATACCCTGATGATCTTCCTAGGCTCAGCGAAATAAACTTCCTATCGCTGGATATCGAGAGGATATTATCGCAGCTCTGGATCGATCTCAGGTCCTGAGCCTCGTAAGCGACGATGTACGATATTTATAATTTTCTCTTGGTACATTGTCGCATCCAGATAGCTCATACAATACAGGTCTATGGTGCCCAAGATGCATTTTATCTCAACCAAATCAATGATGGCAAGTTAATGTTTTATCTGCCGCGCAAGTCGGGTATCTGAACGATTTTTGCCTTCCAGCCAGTAATTTTGGCATACGGATACTACCAAGGGCGAAATTGCGAAGTCTCGTTCGTCGCCTCCTCTTCCTTGCGAGATATTAATATTGATCACCCTCATAGATTGAATGATGCTGACTGCTGGAGCAACCCAGAACGTTACCGTGCGTGATCATCTTGTGAGGCTCGTCCATCAGAAAGCCGCTTCCAACTCGACTGCTGGGGTCTTCCCTACAACGTATAACACCGGAAATGGGAGTGCTGTGGGAGGTCAAGTCAGGTTGGCGCTATTCCATCTTGTCGTTGCTCGGTGTAAATGTAGATCTCATCGAATGTGAAACCTAGCCCGGCGCAAGGATCTGTATTCTCATTACTGGCTCTCAATTTGACGTAAGTTACATACTGAATGACTTTGCAGTGTGAATATTGTTCATTGACAAGACTCCTGCAGTACACAACCCATAGAAACGCCGACTAGTGGTGCCAGCAGTAGCTTGTCTAGTAGTCCGTCAACCGTTGGTAGCACAATTAATGTAGGAGCCATCGTAGGCAGTGTGGTCGCGGTATCACTTTGACTATCATGGTGGGCGTCTTTTTCTTCTGGCGCCATCGGAAGCAAAGAAGCCCAATACTCGATACTGCCTCCCTGAACTCTGAACTTCAATATTTCATCATGCCTTGAGCGCATGAGTCGTTTCCACTAGTGCCTCGGTTGTCGACATCCTCGCATCTACCTGAAAATGCCAAGTTTCCCAGTCCGTGCCTGCGGTGACCTCAGCACAGGCATTGACACTGCACTCGAAACGGAGGCCTCCATCCTCCGAGCTGGAGCCGGAGCCAGAAGCAGCACCAGAGCCAGAGGCTGATGTGCGTAGAGAGGTAGAAAGTTTGCGTAGGCAGGTGGAGGCGATACGTGCGCAGAAGGCCTCCCCCCCGAGTACATTTGGGGGAGGGGGAGGTGATAGGATCGAGGCTGGGTTCTAACTTGATGTTTCTATATATCCCAGAAATGCTTTGGATCTTACCTAGGTGCATCGTCATCAAGATTTTGTCGTATAAAAAGAGTGTTGTAGCCGATTTTGCCTATGTAAGACATGTCCGGGGATAATTCGATACGCTAATATCAATTCGGTATGCGAGCCTCGTCAAGAATCTTGGCAGGATCACTCTTCGCACCAACTCCCCGCCCCTTCTTAACGGGATTCTCTAGGTGTACGTCGGATTTGGAGCGAACAATGTAGGTCGGGATTGCGCCCACCTCAGTTTTTCAGCCTGTTCTTGTCTCTCTCGTTCGACTTGTTCGAGGCGTCGTTGAGCTTCTGCTCTCTCCGCCGCCTCTTCTATGCTGTTCTTCGATGGCCCCCATTGTCGGATTGGGCCTGACTCTGCGACCCCCAAACAGCCGAGATATGCCACCGCCTATGTTTTGACAATAGCTGAAAGCGACAGTAGTTAGATATGTGTAGGCATCTATGACATGTGCTTGGGTACCTTTCTGCAAACTAGCGAAGGTTCCTTGGATAAAGCATCGAGCCTCTAGCCTCGGCATCTAACAGAGAACGATGCGAATTAGTATATATCACGTTGAGTTGTTTTATTCGTCTTACAAATTACAATGGAGACGCCGAAACGATGAATAGGAAATACGACTATGGCGGCTACAAGTTGAAGACCAGAGGAGCGATGAATAGAGAGATGTCAAAAAAAAAAGTTATTCCGTGAAGATTCTTATAAGCCCCGGTTTCATACAAAGAGCGAGCCTTGTGACCCGCAGCTCCAACTTCTGCGGGTGTGGTATTGGTGGTTTCTTTCACATATGATGATCCAAGGAATACGCCATAATTTGTGCTAAGATGCAACTACGCTGCTGCCACGGAACTTGTAGCTGGCGCTTGTCACAGTGTATTCGACATCCAATGTAGTATCGATGAGGACTCATGTCGAATGGAAGGCGCACCCTCA